ACTATTTCAAACCATCCAAAAAGGGGAGTCCTTCCCAAATCATTTTATAAGACCAACATCATCCTGATGCCAAAACCTGGCAGAGACTCAACAAGAAAAGAAAGCTTTAGGCCAATATCTGTGATGAACATAGATGCAAAAATCTTCAACAAAATACTGGCAAACCGACTGCAACAGCACATCAAAAAGCTTATCCATCATGATCGAGTAGGATTCATCCCAGGGATGCAAGGCTGGTTCAACATACACAAATCTATAAACATAATTCACCACATAAACAGAACCAAAGACAAAAACCACATGATTATCTCAATAGATGCAAAGAAGGCCTTTGATAAAATTCAATAGCCCTTTATGCTAAAAACTCCCAATAAACTAGGTATCAACAGAACGTATCTCAAAATAATAAAAGCTATTTACGACAAACTAACAGCCAATATCATACTGAATGGGCAAAAACTTGAAGCATTCCCTTTGAAATCTGGCACTAGACAAGGATGCCCTCTCTCACCACTCCTATTCAATATAGTATTGGAAGTTCTAGCCAGAGCAATCAGGCAAGAAAAAGAAATAAAGGGTATTCAAACAGGAAAGGAGGAAGTCAAATTGTCTCTATTTGCAGACGACATGATTGTATATTTAGAAGACCCCATTATCTCAGCCCAAAATCTCCTGAAACTGATAAGCAACTTTAGCAAAGTCTCAGGATACAAAATCAACGCGCAAAAATCACAAGCATCCCTATGACTTAGAGAGAGCCAAATCAAGAACGAACTGCCATTCACAATTGCTACAAAGAGAATAAAATACCTAGGAATATAACTAATAAAGGATGTAAAGGATCTCTTCAAGGAAAACTACAAATCACTGCTCAAAGAAATAAGAGAGAACACAAATAGATGGAGAAACATTCCATGTTCATGGTTAGGAAGAATCAATATTGTGAAAATGGCCATACTGCCCAAAGTAATTGATTCAATTGATTCAATGCTATCCCCATCAAGCTACCAATGACCTTCTTCACAGAACTGGGAAAAAAACACCTTAAACTTCATAGGGAACCAAAAAAAGATCCCACATAGCCAATTCAATTCTAAGTAAAAAGAACAAAGCTGGAGGCATCACACTACTGGACTTCAAACTATACTACAAGGCTGCAGTAATCAAAACAGCTTGGTACTGGTACCAAAACAGAGATATAGACCAATGGAACACAACAGCGGCCTCAGAGGCAACACCACACATCTACAACTATCCGATCTTTGACAAGCCTGACAAAAACAAGCAATGGGGAAAGGGGTCCCTGTTTAATAAATCGTGTTGGGAAAACTGGCTAGCCACATGCAGAAAGCAGAAACCGGACCCCTTCCTGACACCTTACACTAAAATTAATTCTAGATGGATTAAAGATTTAAACATAAGACCTAACATCATAAAAATCCTAGAAGAAAACCTAAGCAAAAACATTCAGGACATAGGCATAGGCAAGTACTTCATGAATAAAACACCAAAAGCAATGGCAACAAAAGCCAAAATAGACAAATGGGTCCTAATTAAACTCCAGAGCTTCTGTACAGCAAAAGAAACAATAATTAGAGTGAACTAGGAACCAACAGAATGGGAAAAATTTTTTTCAATCTACCCATCTGACAAAGGGCTAATATCCAGAATCTACAAAGAATTAAAACAGATTTACAAGAAAAAAACAAACCCATCTAAAAGTGGGCCAAGGGTATGAACAGACAATTATCAAAAGAAGACATAAAGGAGGCCAACAAACGTATAAAAAAATGCTCATCATCACTGATTATTAGAGAAATGCAAATCAAAACACATTGAGATACCACCTCATGCCAGTTAGAATGGTGGTCATTAAAAAATCTGGAGACAACAGATGCTGGAGAGGATGTGGAGAAATAGGAAAACTTTTACACTGTTGGTGGGAGTGTAAACTAGTTCAACCATTGTGGAAGACAGTGTGGCGCTTCCTCAAGCACCTAGAAATAGAAATTCCATTTGACCCAGCAATCCCATCACTGGGTATATACCCAAAGGATTATAAATCATTCTATTATGAAGACACATGCACACGTATGCCCATAGTGGCACTGTTTACCATAGCAAAGACCTGGAACCACCCAAATGCCCATCGATGATAGGCTGGACAAGGAAAATGTGGCACATATACACATGGAATACTATGCAGCCATAAAAAATGATGAATCTGTGTCCTTTGTAAGGACATGGATGAATCTGGAAACCATAATTCTCAGCAAACTGACACAAGAACAGAAAATCAAACACCGCATGTTCTCACTCATAGGTGGGTGTTGAACAATAAGAACACACGGACACAGGGAGGGGAGCATGTCACACTGGGGTCTGTCGAGGGGGCCAATGGAGGAACAATGGGGGGGGAGTGGGGAGGTCAGGGAGGGATAACATGGGGAGAAATGCCAGATATAGGTGACGGGGGGATGGTGGCAGCAAACCACATTGCCATGTTTGCACATATGCAACAATCCTGCATGATCTGTACATGTACCCCAGAACCTAAAGTACAATAAAAAAAAGAAGAAAGAAAGAAAATAATGTAGCTTATCTTCACACAGGGATACAAAAACCCCTGATTACAAAGGAAAAGTCAGAAAAGTTCAACTAAGTTAAAATTAAGAATTTCTTTAATCAGAGAAATGCAAATCAAAACTACAATGAGATATCATCTCATTCCAGCTTAAATAGTTCTTATCAAAAAGACAGGCAATGACAGATGATGGCGAGGATGCAGAAAAAGGGGAACCCTTGTACACTGTTGTTGGGAATGTAAATTAGTACAATCGCTATCCTTAAAAAAACTAAAAATAGAACTACTGTGTGACCCAGCAATGCCACTGCTGGGTATACACCCAAAAGAAAGGAAATCAGTACATTGAAGAGATTCCTGTACTCCCATGGTTACTGCAGCACTACTCACAACAGCGAAAATATGGAATCAGCCTACCTGTCCATAAATAGATGAATGGATAAAGAAAATGTGGTACTTGTACACAATGCAGTACTATTCAGCCATCAAAATGAATGCAATCCTGCCATTTGCAACAACATGGATAAAACTGGAGGACATCATAGTAAGTGAAATAAGCCTGGCACAGAAAGACGAACATTGCATGTTCTCACCCATGTGTGGGAGCTAAAGAAAAAAACTGAACCCATGTAGACAGAGTAGAGGAGTGGAAGGGAAGTGGGAAATAAGGAGGGATTAGTAAATGGGTACAAAAATACAGTTAAAAAGAACAAATGCAGAGAACACCACAAAGATATTCCTCAAGAAGACCAACCTCAAGGCACATAATCATGAGATTCACCAGGGTTGAAATGAAGGAGAAAATGCTAAGAGCAGCCAGAGAGAAAGGTCAGGTTACTCACAAAGCGAAGCCTATCAGACTCACAGCAGATCTCTCAGCAGAAACCCTACAAGCCAGAAGAGAGTGGGGGCCAATATTCAACATCCTTAAAGAAAAGAACTTTCAACCCAGAATTTCACATCCAGCCAAAATAAGCTTCATAAGAGAAGGAAAAATAAAATATTTTGTGAACAAGCAAGCACTCAGAGATTTCATCACCACCAGGCCTGCTTTACAAGAGCTTCTGAAAGAAGCACTACACATAGAAAGGAACAACCAGTATCAGCCTTTCTAAAAAATATCAGAAAGTAAAGAGCATCAACATAATGAAGAATTTACATCAACTAATGGGCAAAACAGCCAGCTGACATTAAATGGCAGTATTAAACTCACATATATTAATTCTAAATTTAAATAGACTAAATCCCCAATCCAAAGACACAGAAAGGCAAATTGAATAAAAAGCCAAAACCCATTGGTATGCTGCATCCAGACCCATCTCACATGCAAGGATACACAAAGACTCAAAACAAAGGGATGGAGAAAGATTTACCAACCAAATGGAGAGCAAAAATAAATAAATAAATAAAAAGCAGGAGTTGCAATTTTTGCCTCTGATAAAATAGACTTTAAAGCAACAAAGATCAAAAGAAGCAAAGAAGGACATTACATAACGATAAAAGGATCAATGCAACAAGAGGAGCTAAAGATCCTAAATATACATGCACCCAATACAGGAATACCCAGATATATAAGACTCATAAAGAGACTTAGACTCCCACACAATAATAGTGGAAGACTTCAATATCAGTATTAGACAGATTGATGAGACAGAAAATTAACAGCGATATCCAGGACTTGAACTCAGATCCGGAACAAGTAAACTTAATTAACATTTATAGAACTCTCCACTTTAAATACACAAAATACACACTCTTATCAGTACCACATCACACATACTTACAGGTTTAAATGAAATATTGGTTGGCTGCTTGTTTATTTTCTTCCCTCATTTTTTTCATGTCTCCATTATTAAGCACAATTATAGGCATACCCATTTTTAGACTGCATTCTAGGCTGGGCAATAAAGCAACACCCCCGTTCTCTCTCCCTCTTCCTCTTTCTTCCTCTGCTTCATTCTTTTTTTTTATTATTATTCTTTTTTCTTTCTTTCTTTCTTAAGAAAAAAGAAAGAACAAATAAGTTTAGTGTTTAGCAGCACAGTAGGGCAACACACTTAACAGTAATTTATTTTATATTTCAACATAATAGACTAGAATTGGAATATTCACAACACGAAGAAACAATAAATGCTTCAGGTGATGGGGTACTCTACCCTAATTTGATAATTATGCATTGCATGCTTGCATCAAAATGCCACATCTACCCCATAACTATGTATGGTTATTATGTATCTGTAATAATTAAAAATAAAAATTAAAAAAATGTTTCTGTTAGTAAGGAGATACCTTTAAGAGAATAAAAAGGCTAGCCACTAGTTAGTAAAAGATAGCTACAATACAGATATGGAGCAGAGAGTGGAGGGGATCAATATATTTATCCCTCATACAAACCAATAAAACAAAGAACACCTACCAGAAAATTAGGCAGAAGACTTCAGTGAGCTCCTCAAACAGAAGATATACAAATGGCTAAAAAGAAACATATAAAAGGCTGCTCAGTCTCATTAGTAATCAGGGAAATGCAATTTAAAACCGACATGGAGTGTGACTTAGTAGAACCACTTTGGGAAACTGTTCTGTGACCTAGAAATCCACTCCTAGATATATACCCAAGAGAAATAAGTATACATAAGAATGTTCACAGCAGCTTAATTGACAATATCCAAAACCTAGAAATAATCAATAAGAAAATGAATAAACAAAGTGTAATATAATCATACAACAGAGCTCAGCAAGAAAAAAAAAGTAACCAACAACTTGTGTAAATTGCAAAAAACCATTATGTTGGGCAAAAGAAGCCAGACACAGTAGAGTCCATACTGTCTGAGTTCATTTATATGAAGTTCAAAAGCAAGCAAAACGCATGTATAGTGGCCGAAGTCAAAACAGTGTGGATAGAATAGAAACTTCTTTCTAGAAAAGAGCATGAGAGAACTTTCTGGGGTGTTGGAAATATTCTACATCTTCATCTGGGTAATGTTTACATAGATACATTTATATGTAAAATATTCTCTCAGGATGCACATTTTCACATTTTATTGTGTATGACATACACCTCAGTTACACACAAAAACCCATTATGTAGCTACCAGAATGGTTAATAAAATTTAACAGATTGACAATTCTAAGCCTTGGCAAAGAGGTGGATAAGCAGGATTCCCATCCATTGTTGCCAGGAATCTAACCTAGTGCAACCACTTTGAAAAATAGTCTGGCATGACTAAGTAAAACTGAAGATATAAAAAAATGTTCATAACAGTATTCATAATTGCTGTAAACTGGAGACAAATATCCATCAGAATGAGAATGAAGGCTGGGCACGGTGGCTCACATCTGTAATCCCTGCACTTTGGGAGGCTGAGGCAGGTAGATCACCTGAGGTCAGGAGTTTGAGATCAGCCTGGCCAACACGGTGAAACCACATCTCTATTAAAAATACAATAATTAGCCAGATGTGGTAGTGCACACCTGTAGTCCCAGCTACCTGGGAGGCTGAGGCAGAAGAATCTCTTGAATCTCCAAGGCAGAGGTTGCAGTGAGCTGAGATCACACCATTGCACTCCAGCCTGGGTGATAAGAGTGAAACACAGTCTCCAAAAAAAAAGAGAAAGTGAATACAATAATTGTGTTAGATTCATAGTAGAGTATTATTCAGCAATGACTAATGAACAACCTGCAGCTCCATAAAACACAGGAGAATCTCACAAAATGACACTGAGTGAAAGCATCCAAGTAAAGAAAACAAACTAAATGTTTCCATTTATATAAAGTTCAAACAGCAGAGAAAACTAAGATTGGGTGCAATCTTAGAAAAGTAAGAAAATGATTTTCATGAAAGTCAGGAGAGAGGTAACATTTTTGAGAAGAGTAATATAGCTGATTAGGGCATTGGTCTATTTAATGAACTCAATATTGGATACAGAGTTAAGCTTCGTTGCTTACAACAAAAGATGCACCACTCAATGAATTTTCCGTGTATATGGTTTTTTTTTAATTTTTATTTTTGAGATGGAGTCTCACTGTGTCACCCAGGCTGGAGTGTACTGGCACAATCACGGCTCACTGCAACCCCCACCTCCCGGATTCCAGTGATTCTTCTGCCTCAGCCTCCCGAGTAGTTGGGACTACAGGTGTGCACTACCTCACCGAGCTAATTTTTGTATTTTTAGTAGAGATGGGGTTTCACCATATTGGTCAGGCTGGTCTCGAACTCCTGACCTCGTGATACGCCCATCTTGGTCTCCCAAAGTGCTGGGATCACAGGCGTGAGCCACTGCACCTGGCCCTGTGTGTATGTTATAGTTCACAATAGAAGAAGGTTAAAAATAATCAATGGGACCTGGTGAGTGATTGAATTTTGTGGGGGAGAGGAGGAGAAAGAAAGAATCATGCACAAGTCCCAGGTTTCTGACTTGCACAATTGCTTGGGTGCTGATGCCTTTCTTTCTTTTCTTTTTGTTTGGAAATGGAGTCTTGCTCTGTCACCCAGGCTGGAGTGCAATGGCACAATCTCTGCTCACTACAACCTCTGCCTCCTGGATTCAAGTGATTCTCCTGTCTCACCCTCCCATGTAGCTGGGATTATATGCACCCACCACCACGCCCAGGTAATTTTTTGTACTTTTTTTTTTTTTTAAGTAGAGATGGTTTCACCATGTTGGCCAGGATAGTCCAGAACTCCTGACCTCAGGCAATCCACCCATCTCAGCCTCCCAAAGTGCTGGAATTACAGGTATGAGCCACCATGCCCAGCCTGTGATGGCTTTCATTAAGATAGCAAACAGCATTTTCAGAGGAAGAATATGAAATAAATCTGCAACATGCTGAATTTAGAATACTTTTGAGACATCCAAGTAGAGCTGTCCAGTAGGCAATTAGGTATTAGCAGATGGAGTTCTCAACAGCAGAGGTTAGAGTAGAGATGAAAATGTTGGATTCACCCATGAGTGAGGCCATGGACATGGCTGTGACTGCTCAGGGAAAGAAGAATGACAGAGGGCTTAGGGCTGATTGGTGGAACATCAGCATTTAATGGCCAAATACAGGAGGATAAGCCAGCAAAAAAAAAAAAAAAAAAGATTGAGAGTGGTCGGAGGAAAATGAAGAACACGTTATGAACCATTAAGCAAGAGGAAAAAGTGTCTCAAAAGTAAGAAGTCACTCTCTGCAGCTTGATGCATATCTCAGGGGTGAGGTGGACATGGATTATGTGTAATTCTCAGCAAGTCAGTTTTTACTCTACCTCTTTCTGGCTGACTTGACACAAGCAACAACCCAACAGAAAACCAATGCTTCTGAGAATGGCTGCAACTTTTTATGTGCTATCTTTTGAGGTGAGAAGTCAAGGTTGAGCTCTTCTTTCTCCTGATTCTCAGGAAGGAGGGAAGCGGACGTGAGAACACTGATTGGGTATGTGTGTCACTGGGCAGCATCACTGTTAAAAGGTCAGCACACAGATTCGAGCTCACTTTTCTCCTTCTATGTGACTGAAGTGGTTGAGAACGTTGTCACTCCCCACCTATACCCTCAACTGTCAGGGACAGCCAGGGCCAAACCTACTGCTTGGGCAGAAGTGGCCAGGACAGGTGTCCAAGGCCAGATCAGCAGTCAGCCAGAGCAAATGGGCTCACTCTGGTTACATGACCCAGGGCAACTGACAGAAAGGAGTGAAACGTGGGGAAGATCTCGGTGTGTTTGAGAACTGGGGAGACGAAAAGGGTTAATCTCATGTCCTGCTTTAGTTTGAAACAATTTAAGCTTAATTAGATTCAAAAAAACCAGTGTTTTCACATGAACCAGCTGGGCTCATTCCAGTCTTCTATCCTGGTGTTTGCTGCCCAAGTCCTAGTTAAGAATAAAATGCACAGTCCTTTTGTTTTCTATTTGTCAGTGCAAATATTTAATACAAATCTTTCTCCCAGGGACCCTATAGACTTGAAAACTGGCTACAGATTAGAGGTGATTCTGATATTCCAGGGATCCCTGACCAGAATACTGTAATATGAAATTACCATAATTTCTCAATTTCTAGCACCACACACATAAACTACATCACACACACACACACACACACACACACACACACAGAGGCAGGCTTACCTACCTCTCAGAAAATTGCACAGATTCAACAAGAATAAATATTAATTAATGTATTCCTTAATGGCTGATGGATAATAATGTTAACTAAAACAAAGATGCTTTATTTTTAAACTCACTACTGATCCCCACCAAATATTTAAATCATAGAGTCTAAACTGACAGAACAGCAAATTAATACAGTCCTTTGGTAGGGAAATCTGATGATATATATTAGAAACCAATCCTGTTATTTGTTGCTTTTTTTAAAATCGACAAAAAATAATGACAAAATGATGTTTCATAAATCTTAGTACATTCTTACAATGAATACTATGTAAACACTTTAAAAATGAGGGCCGGGCCCAGTGGCTCACGCCTGTAATCCCAGCACTTTGGGAGGCCGAGGTGGGTGGATCACGAGGTCAAGAGATCAAGACCATCCTGGTCAACACGGTGAAACCCCATCTCTACTAAAAATACAAAACATTAGCTGGGCATGGTGGCACGCGCCTGTAGTCCCACCTACTCGGAAGGCTGAGGCAGGAGAATTGCCTGAACCCAGGAGGTGGAGGTTGCGGTGAGCCGAGATCACGCCATTGCACTCCAGCCTGGGTAACAAGAGTGAAACTCCGTCTCAAAAAAAAAAAAAAAAAATGAGATGCTTGAGTGAGAACTAGCTTTGAAGGAGACACAAAGTATTTAAAAAGTAAATAGAATGAAAGATACTATTTGTGGAACACCTATGTACTAGGGCTGTGCTGATTGATTGCACACCTGCTGTTTAATTTTATAATAACCTTAAAAGCAGTGGCATACTAACCTCATTTAACAAATAAAATGAAAACAGAAGCATAAGTTTATTATCTAGTATTATTGAGGAAGGACATAGCAGAATCAGGATTTAAAACCATGAAACCTTGATTTCAGAACCTATACTTCTACTCACTGTGCCAATGTTCTAAAAAATACAAACCTATGAATAATTATTTAATATCCATCAATGTTATATATTTTTTAATATACAGCAATGTATATAAAACCTCAATGTTATATATTTATCTAATATATATCAATGTATGAGTTCACAGCTCTTATCACTAAGGATTTTTGGGTTTCTTTAGTAAATTTTTTTTTATATACTATCTAGTCTAAGGTATTTTTTTATTCTTTATTAAATTTTAAGAAAACTGTCACAAATTAACAGTACGGATGATACAAATATATGGCAAAAGTAACAAGGAGGCACTTCAGTGACTGAAAGTTTGGAGAACAAAACTCTCACCTTCTCAAAAGGCACTTTTCTTCTTTCTAAGCTGCAATACTCTATGAAACTTTCACAACTACATAGTACTTCAAGAGTTTTTTCAAAAAAATAAAACAACCCCTCCTGA